CCCCAAAACCCCAAAACCCCAAAACCCCAAAACCCCAAAACCCCAGATTTCTCAACCCAAGTTGAAAATAATAATGAACAGTAGAATATTATATCCTATTTTAAGTCTTAAGTTCTACAAGTTTTAAAAATTGCTCTGAGTTGACTTATACTTCTCCATTTAGTTAGAGCAAAAACAGTAATTCATCTGAAAGTGATGCGTCAGAATAGAGTACAGAGTAAGTCCATTTGGGATTAAAACCTGATCTTCTGAGATACCAGTGCTAATGAATGTATTCTGGTATCCTCGGTCTTCATTTCTAGTTAAATTCTTCTGAATAAGTTTTTGACCCTTTTCTGAGAAATTATCATTTTTATTTCCTGAGTTTGGATTTCTACTTATAGAATTTAAGCATTCTACCTGGTGCTCAGTGCTTATTCTCTTTGTCTGCTTCATAGCTACAATGACAACTTTTGCAGGCCTCAAAGGAATTAATGTCTGAGAGTTTGAAATTTCCCTATTAATTTCGCATGGAACATTAATACTTATTTCAGCTCCTTCAGTAAGTATCTTTCCTGTGTTCAAGCGGAGTTCTTTTTTGCAGCTGTATAGTTCCTTCTTACTGTTTTCTAGATTTTGACTACTCAAATTAAATTTGTCCTTGACAAGAGACACTTTAGAATTCTTGCTAAAGAATTCAGCAGAATTCTTCACAATCTCATTAACCTGAGTCATCTTTTCTTGAGCATCATAAGGTTCCTCGCAACTTGTAGCAAACATTCAAAAATTAGAGGAACTCGACTTCTCAGAGTCCTTTCACCAACTTTTAAGATGCCTTTTCTTAAGATTCATTTGTGAATCTTTACTTGATGAATTTTTTACTAAATTTTTCTCCTGAATATAGCTAAACTCTTTCTATGCCAGTGTCTTTTATTAAAAATTGATTATTGGCTTTATCACTCCTAACTCTCTCAGCAGGCTTTTTAAACTGAGATTTTTGACACAAAGAAGCTTGAGAAGGACGCTTGAAATTATTTTCTAAAGAATTTCGTGTTTTGGGTCCCTTATTTCATTTCCTCTGAAACTTTCGTTCTTGAGAGTGCTGTTTGAATGAATCTAGAGATGATGAATGTCTCATTACAATTAAATTTATCCTTCCAATTCTCTCAATTTGCTTCTACATCTAGATATTAGAAAGAGCTTACGACTAAGAAATTGCAGATCCCCCTGATTTATTAAGTCTTTCTTAATTTCCTTCTTGTTGGCAGGTAGGTTGGTGGTCCTCTAAAAAGTAAAAATTACAATTGAATAACTATACGCTAGCAAATATGCCTAAAAGTAACGGAAAATACTGAAAATGATGAGTTTGCATACCTGGCCTTCGACTCTCATTTGTAAGTCTTCATACAAATACTGTGTGTTATTGCTCATTCTATGCTGAACCTGTCATTTGTAAGTGGTAGGGTAACATTCATCAATAGTTTAGTGTAAAATCAAGACTTGTGAGTAAACCCTAGAGCAAGATCCCCAATTTTTATAAGATTCTTGATGCATAAAAAATTATCTAGGAAGTGGACTGCTGACACTTAAAGCAAAATTTTCACTTGTAAAAAGTGTTTGAACTCTTAGAGACACTAACTTAACTTTAAAGATATGAAAATCTTTGCAATCTGTTTGTCGGAATCTTCAAATCTGAACCTCACTTCTCAACTAAGTCTGCTCCAAATAATTCAAAAAGGTGAGGAGATAGGATCCAGAGCAGAGGAGGCTTACCAAATATTTCTTGGATAGCGGTTTTCTAAGTTTCATATAGGTTTCTTAAAATATCTAAAATTGCACAATCAAGTTCTTTCATGCCAAATTTTATCTTAAATCTCTAATTTAGCATGGCTGAGTTGATAGGGCTGGTTATGGAAGAAGTGAAGGCTAAGGATTGAGGCTAAAGTTATGAGAAGCTTTACTTCATAAATATTTTATTCTTAAAATTTAAAATAGAATTGAAAAGACCGTACTTTAAGCTATCATCCAAAAATAATACAAGAGCTAATCTGCTCAACAGAAGTCTCCAGTATTAAGGTAAATTTGCAGCTCTAAATCAGTATAACTCGAGCTTACCCAGGCTCTTTAAATTTAGGATGCTTTAAGTAGTACAACACTTTCCATCAAGATTAAGTGATGTCTCTAAAGCCCAACTCTCACTTTCTTAGAGAGGGCCATACATAAGACTTATGTTAACTTAATGTAAAAATTGATCATAAGGATATCTCTGGCTGGCTCTAGGGATTTATAGTCAACATCACAGCTTAAATTATTGTTCAATAATTGATACTTCCCTTTAACGAAATTTTCAACCAATGAAAATCCTAAAAGATTATTCTTAAATTCAGCCTAAATACTCTTCTAGACATAAAACTAAGCTTCAGTTAGCACCAATGAAGAACAAAGGGTTCATTATTCAAACAATAAAACAACACCATATTCCTGAAAGCTTGATGAGAGTAATCAATGGCTTCTAAAGCAACATTAATAGAGCAAAACTAGCTTGAAAACAGAAGAGAGGGCTACAAGGGGTTTCAAGAAAGTTAATACAAAAGTTATGCAGTTGTTTTAGAAGTTATAAAGAAAGTAAGCTATCAATCTCAGTATTCTACCAGAGTTCTAATCTTCCATTTCTTACCTTATTTTATCCCTATTCGATATTTTATAATATACTGGGGTTTTGGGGTTTTGGGGTTTTGGGGTTTTGGGG